AAAATTTTAAATCACAGCTAGGAGTTTTTATGTAGTAAAACTAGAGTCACTGTGACTTGCTCTGTGGGGGAGTGTTGAAATTATGGAGTTCAGAGATGAGTCAGGTGATGCTTAATGGAAGTAATTGATGAAGGGTTTGGTTATTGAGTTGTCTATGATTTCTGTGTTGGGATACACTTTGTTGATCCTACTAGGCTCGATAATTAGTAGTCCCGACCGACTGGTGTTTGGCAAACGGAGATTGCGTATACCCTGTGCTAGCGTTTTTTACTGCTGTTAATAGGAGATCCCGCACGGGCTACTTATTGGGATTAAAAGGAGTCTGGTACCTGTGTTTAATAGAGTAGTCGAATTGACATCCTTTTATCCTTCAGTATTGCATAAGCTTCCCTTTACCAATAAAGTCCACGAACTAAGTAGTGGGTTATACATTTCAATAGCAGAGCAGATTTTCCCTTTGTCAGGTTCTCTGGGACTTGGTCACTTAACTTGAGAAAGGTAGGCGTGAGATCTTGGATTCTTGATGGTGAAGATGATATATTAACAAAAGTTTAGGTTCTTGATTCTTGGTTCTTGAATAACTAAGGAATAATACAAGACTGAAAGCTGGAGAGCTTTCTACATGAAGATACCTCAGCTACTTATACTTCGATACTATCTGCTACAGACTACAGTAATCTAGTTCCAGCCCGATTCCTGTCGAACTCCTGAGAGTGACCTAGAATCTGATCGAAGCTCAGTTAACTGGTAAGATTACAAAATACCATCCCGAAATATCTAGAAACTAATTGCTAGAATAGCTTAGAGCGCCATCGAAGTAACTAGAACTTGTCTAGAGGGATACTAGCTGAAGCTAGGATCAGACTCTACCTCAACACCATGAATCTATCCATGACATAGCAGTAGCAACATAGTCTTAGAGCCAGAGGTTGGCAGGATACCATCTCAACATCAGTCAGTCCGTGACACCCTTTTAATAGGCTGACTGGGGACTACTGCTGGGTACTGGTCAATGGAATCACATTTCTTAACGTGTATAAGGCCCTTAACAACCCGACTGTAGTCCGCATGATTGTTGACTGGAAACTGTCTCCGAGGTCCATTGCAGCCGGGGAATTCAACTCAATGCATGCTGCCTGGCAACCAGGAGCAACTCGGCTTTATGGACAGGGTGATGAGATATATAGGTGGGCGGAAGTCCACAACCTCTCTTGTCTTATAATTGGAGAGCCGACTCAAAAAGCTGGCAATACTCTTGATCTCGCTTGGACTAACATATTTGGAGCCCGTGCTTGGGTCAATAGAGAGGAGTGTATGACCAGCGACCATCTTCCGATCCGCGGAATTGTACCTGCAGCAAACTTCACCGGGAGCCCGGGTCCATCAAAGATCAGAGTGCCCAAGAAAAATCTGCCAAATTTTGCGCGTGCCATTACAATGTGGGTACATCCAGCTATAGACTTGAGCACAACAGAGAAAGTGGACGAGTACGCCCAAGAAATATGCTTCCATCTCTCGGAGGCCATCAAAGCGACTGGAACCCGGGCCAAAAAGTAAGGCCATAAATCTGCGCTGTGGTGGACTCCCAGGTGCAAATCCGTCCAAGCCGAATACTGAGCCGCAACAACACCGACACAGCGGGCCACTTGCGCAAAGGAGCTCTGAGTGACCATCACAGCCGCCAAGAAAGAATACCAGACAAGCCAAGTGGAAGCAATGACATCACCGTCCGATATCTTCAAGCTGATGCGATCGGTAAACCATAGACAGGCCAAAGCCCCTCCGCCACTCAATCACAACGGAAAGTATATCACGGACCCGTTAGAGCGAGCTACCATTCTCCGAGACGCCCTTCTTGCACGCCACCAAGAATCGGACGACCTTCCGCCATGCAACACTCCCAGCGATAACTAGATACCTTGGGAAGGTGAAATCTCAGATGGGGAAGGGGGAGCATGTACCATCGGCTGTGGGAAGACAGCACCAGGGGCAGATGGAATCACGGTTGATCTCTTCGAGGCTTGCTGGAAGACAATTGGACCGTGTATTTTGTAGCTCTTTAGAGCCTGTTTACGGCTGGGCACTCATCCTTCTTGCTTTAAGCTGGCAGAGGTGGTATTACTGGAAAAGCCAAATAGGGACCCAACCATAATTAAAGGCTGGAGACCTATAGTCCTCCTCTCGTGCATAGGCAAAGGGTTAGAAAGACTTCTTGCCAAGCGAATGGCAAACCTCGCAATCACTCATGATGTGGTCGGCCATCAACAATTCGGTGCGCTCCCAAAGAGATCTGCAACGGACCTGGTTTCCTGCGTAGTCCACGATTTCGAAGAAGCTCGCTCCCAGGGATGGGCCTCGACATTTGTAACTTTAGACGTCCAAGGAGCGCTCGATGCAGTGCTCCACAATCGCTTGGTTAGGCGCATGCAAGCCCAGGGATGGCCAGACTCTATCCTCCGGTGGACGACTCCATTACTCGCACACCGGAAAGTACAAGTGCGTTTCTCCGGCGGAGTCACCACCCAGAGAGAGCTGGTCTGTGGAGTCCCCCAGGATCACCAATTTCGTCATTACTATTTCTTCTGTATATGGCGGAGCCAATGAAAAGTGGTACCCCGGGATCGAGGTTTAGCTACGCCGACGACATTGGGATTCTAGGGTTTGGACGCACAATTTCTGAATCTGCTGCTGCTGTACAAAGCGAGACAGATCATCTTCTCGAATGGGCGCGGAAAAATGCTGTTGACTTTGACACGGAAAATCGGAAATTATTCAATTTCCGGGACGACGCCGAGAGGAAACAGTTGGTGTTCATGTTAACAGAACCCTTATTGAGCCTGCGGAAAATATTCGCTGGTTAGGCGTGAATCTAGATCCACGACTCAATTTAAAACACCATGTAACTAGGTGGTGCGGTAAAGCGGTGAAAGTTGCCAAGCACATGCGCCGTTTCAACTCTGCCTTTCGGGGAGCAGCTCCTGGGCCATTGGCTAAGGCAGTAGACATGTGCGTTGTTTCGCTCGCAAACTTTGGATCTGATGTCTGGTGGCCAGGGTCCAAACGCCCGACCATTCGAGGAATAGTCACGTCCTCAACCTCCAACCTCTGCAGCATGATTGACCGAGCTAACCTGATGGGATTGCGGGCTGCACTTCCAGTGATGAGGACAACACCAAACTTAGTCGTTCGTAGAGAAGGAGGAATCCCGCAGGTAAAGGTCATAATAGAGGGAAACCGTCTCCGGATTTCGGCAAGGCTTAAGACCCTTGACGATCGACACCCTTTGAGGATCCGCGTGTAACGGCATGGCATTCTGCCATGTCATTACATATATCAGGCGACCAAGAAGGTATGCTTGGTGAGGAACTAATATGTGGGAGGAGATATGATAATGTTACGCAACCTTGGGAAGCCAAAGCACACACACAAAAGCTCGCAGATTCTATTATCATTAGATTTTCTTTCTTTATTCTTTGTCTTGGTATTCGCTCAATAGATTGAATATATAGTTATACAAGCTGTACTCTCACTTGTGCTTATTCTACGCCGTGACACCGCGCTTCTGTGTGCCCAAATGTCGGCACCCGAAAATACAAAAAGTCTGCCAAGTCCTCAGCCAGACCAGAAATTCAGATATCACGATTACAGCGTGCTTACCGAGAGCTTCCGGAAGCAGAAGCCCCTGAAAGTCTGACGCCGGTGGTTTACTCCAGGAAATCAGGCTCAAAGTCGATGGAACGCGAAGCTTGCGTTAGAAGGATTAGCGACGTGCCAGGAACGAACATTTGCCCATACTCGGATGGGTCATCGGAAGGACATGGACGCCCCACCTGGGGTTTCTTTCTGAAAAAGGATGGGAAACTTATCGGCAAAGAAATTGGCATCGAGCACGGGGGAGAGGTGCTGGATGCAGAGATAATTGGTGCAAGGAAGGCTCTGGAGGCCGCACTGGAATTCACGGAGGACGAGCAGTTCAGGAAAGGTGGAGGTATGTGGCAAATACACGTGTTTCTAGACAGCCAGCAGGCTGGAAGCGCAATAACGACAGGCTCGTCCTCAACTAGCCTAGAAGATGTACGCAAATTCCGTGCGTTATCTAATAAGGCTGAAATATCAGTGAAGTGGGTTCCAGGGCATGTAGGAATCCAAGGAAATGAAGAGGCAGATGCCATGGCCCGTGCAGCACTTCGAGAATTGTCCAGCCCGGATATGCAACCAGGATCCAGTACTCTGGCACATCTTCGAGGCCTCATGAATCGCAGACGGCAGAGATTGCTGGACTGTTGGTGGGAAGAGGCCTGTACGCCTAAATACCGCCAACTCAACCTACAGGTGCGGAGACGCAAACCACCTGAACTGTCTCTCTCTAGGCACCTCCTCCGGGCACTAATCGCAGCACGAACGGGCCCGGGCAATTTTTCGGCATACCATCGCCGTTTTCATAATCCACATGCTCCTATGGAGTGCTCTTGCGGGAAGGAAACTACTCCAACTCACTTTATCCATTGTAGCCGCCACACAAAACAAACGCGTAGGCTCAGAAATTCAATGTCCCACGCTGACTTTATCAAAAAGCTTCTCGGGCCCAAGTGCCACGATAGCTTCAAAATATTTGCGGAGGATACCGGCTGTTTTGATAGCCAACCTGCCCACTCATCCACTGCTCTCAGCGGGGATCAGACAATCTTGTCATTGCCACAACGCATGACACAAAAGGGATCGATGCGAGAAGTGTTGTTTCTCAGAGAAAATTTTTATGTACTTGAATTTAGGGTTGAAGGATGGAGTCTCGATTTCGGAGTCGGAGTAGGTGGTGTCTTCTGAGTTATAATTTACCTTCTACTTTTTCTGTAGCGGGTCTCGCGGTTGGAATGGGTTGGGCCTGTAAGCAGTGATCCCCGCCGGCTCTACAAGTCTTGTACCGATAATTGACCTAGAGCTTTAGCTCAGGACTTTAATATAAAAAAAAAAACAGAATTGTACAACTCTTTACTGAATCATTACGATCGATCGTGAAGCCACACCGTAGTAATTCCAACACATACTTCAATAACTCTATTGTGACACTTAAATTTTTTATCCATCTCATTTGCATGAGATAATTTGTAGATAGCAAGGGTTAGTACAAACAAAGCGGCACATTGCAAAATGATGGCAATGTTGGAAAAGTGCATGATTGCTGATTGGTTGGGTCCAAGTGAGAGCTGATGTATGGAATCTCGGATGCTCATTTGCAGTTTTCAGGACAATCTCCTAAATAAAAACTCGTCCAGCTCTGTCGACCTTTTGCTAGACTGCGGTGATAGTTGGTCTGGGCAGACCCTAGATCTAGATATGTGGAGCTTCTTAACCTTTCCATAAGCTCACTTTTCTCTAGGCCCTTGGAGTCTCTTGGCGATGTTGTTTAGAGGTTAGAGGCGTGTAAGATCTATCATGCTTTGCGCTAATTCTTTTCGGAGAAGAGCGGCCTGGGATGGAATATTACTGATGCCGTATTGGTCAGCAATAGCTGTAGGCCGTCCTTCATCTCCCGCTACCGGATCCCTTCTCAAATGTGGTAGGGAGATTCTCTGAATGATTCAACAACTTAGAGGACAACCAATTCTTGCATGGTTGAAGGTATAGGGTTGCCATGATGCTGGTTTTGTGATGCTCGCTCCGGTGAAAAGAAGCCGCTGGTTGCTGACTGGAATATTTCATGTTGGGTGCCATCTGGCTCTCGGGTGTCTTTTTGGTGATGTGATCCTCGCACAAATCAACTTCTACCCCAAATTGGCCAATTAGGTGTGGCGTCGTGTATCTTAGCAGAGTTTTTTGAAGTTTACTAGCTTCACAGTGCCAGTAGGTGTACGTGAAACAAATTTGGAGAGGATCTCACTACCATGTCTCGGCGCCGAGTCATCTTTTTTTTTTTTTTTTTTTTTTGCATCAGATTTTAATTGCGTATGCAGCTATCTAGCTATGACACAATATCAAAGAAAAGTACAGAATAGATGATTCAACGTAAGGGAAGAGCACTCATGCCTTAGATTTCATTTACAATTACCACTGCGAAGTTATGGTGGCTTTTTCTTCACCCCAAGTCAACCCTCATCCGTGAATACTCACCCAGGGGAACGTCTCAAAATCCCTGAGTTATCCAGACATGTCTCCATCATCTTTCAACTTTTCTCTGCGCGATATGTGATCTGAGGTGTCTCTTTCCCAGGTGGAGTAGGTGTCCAGGCTACTCAAATCATACCAGAGAACACCATCAGGAGGTGGACCACGGCACCTTCCATCGTTTGCTTGTGTTTATAGTGTCAGCTGCACTCTCGCAAGCGAAGTCTTGACGCGCACAAAGCTCAATTCGTAAAACTGCTTGCCAAAATTCGGAATTTCACCCCCTCGAGGCTAAATCCTTCCGTCGCATCATCTTGTAAACTTGTCCTAATATCTCTCACGTCCATCCCAAAGAACTGTCTCCCAGATTTGTGCGCCACGCTTTGCTTCCTCCGTCTGGTGTATATATCGGCGTGGGCGTGTATTTGGTGACCGGCTGAGGCCAGAGAGGAGCTCAAAGTGCTAGATAGTCTATGTCTCACTTGGTACAATATACATATCTCTCTCTCTAGGCATTATGGAAAAGGGAGGGTTTCACTTCGGATTATCGTCGTATATTTTTGCGCAGCTTATTGCTGAGAGCAGGGCATCGAATATTTCTTTTATGTTATTTACAGTCAACAAAATCGGAGGGCAAATACTGAACATCCGTGTGTGTATGTGTTGATTGTACCAAGTGAGGCATAGACTATCTAGCACTTTGATCTCCTCTCTGGCCCAGGACAAACCCTTGTACAGTGCTCCTATCCTCTCTTTTCACTTGTAAGATCATTGATATATTGCTCGTGATGAATAGCCATTCAGTTCAGTATCTACCCATCGAATCGAGCCACCTTTTTACGGAACCTTCCCAAAAAAATGGTAGCAATGGAGACTGCGTGCGCGGAAAGAAATCTCTAAAAACCTTGCAGCTCTAGCCAGGCGAGGCCTAGACACCAGGACCACATGAGGTGCGCATATCCATAATTATCTCCCTTCTTTGCGACATTCGAGGCCATCTTGATCCAATCCACCATCCCTGTATCGGGTGCTGGATACGCTCCAGAAACTCATTAGATGGCTTTCCTTCAATGACCAAGAGTGGTTGACACGGACCTCGACCCTAACATCTGATCTGATCGTTGTTAGCTTCATGATAATGGCGATAGGGGAATGTGTTGAGAGATGAAGACGATACAGACGGCGAAAGCGATTGGGAATCCTGGTCGAAGTGAGGACTTTGTTACTCAATCTCGGCTCTGCAGACTCTACAGTGAGAGCTAGAAGTTCGTAGGGGACACCACTGACAGGTATCGAGAATTGTCCCCTTAACTAGAGTGGAAGACGAGTAAATCACGATTCAATCGCCACATTTCAATGTAGTACATTTGATCTATACAATACTTTGTCGTATCAACAGATCTACACCAGTCTTAAAAGTCTGAGAATTCACGACATCATAATTGTCACATTATATAAATTTAGGCAAGTTAAAGATGAGACTACAATTATTTGTCTTACATAACTTATTATCAATTTAAATTTAAACAATCTTTTCATGGGAAATTTATGACGAATTGGATAATGGACTTGCTATTAGGTGCGAGAGATCGTAAATTGAAGCCAATTTATAAATTTGATAAGCTGTCCATTTTCCCCTAATGTAGACTTGGGTATTGGCATATCTATAGGCCATTTTTGTATAAAGTGAAAATCAAGAATACCATCACGTACAATATCGTACCTTTATATACACGACTCTGATTCCATAAGCGTATATACCTACTATCCACAAAAATCTAGCTTTAAAAAGTTTTGGTCGATCCAAATCATGTTGCGCGCTATTCGCTTGGAGGGCCTGGATCACCCCGAAAAAAGATGGTGGCATCGCCGAATGCTTCTGCTGAGTATCTAAGGCTACAGGAAAGAAGTTGGATGAGCGGCCGTCGCATAGAATTGTTCAACCAATATTAGTTATTCATCATGAATGCAAGTCCTTGAGAGCTTTTTCGTATGCCTCAATTATTGGGCTATACAATATATTGGAATCATCTGGTGTACCAAGCGACGGTCTTGAGTAGTCCGAAAATAAAATACTCTTTAACGTTCGAGCTAGATCCTTCGCACAATCAAACTCGGGTAGAAAATTTTCTACGATTTTCCTTTCAAACCCATCCGTTATATCTCTCCTCACGTATTTCCAACTTCTATATTTACCAGCATCGCTCTTGAAAAGAGTACTTTTGTAAGATGGTTGCTGGCCTCCCCAGCCAAATTCCATACAAACTGAAAGAAAAATATAAAACAAAGACTCGAGGTCATGACGGTAGGTACGATTGGTTGGGTTTTCAAGCTGTTCATCTAGATGGGGTGCTATGTAAGGGATGTTGAATATAGGAGATAGATCATTCCAACGCTCGTTCAACGATAGAGCTTGACTAAAATTGATCAACATGCCTGTTATCCCATTGTTTTTTTCTGGGTCTGTCAATATCATATTACTATCGTGAATATCACAATACAAGATCTTGGTTTCTTGATATAGTTGCCTGTGCGCTTTGGTGATATCGCGCATAGCTGTCAAGAACTCTCTGGATGATTTGAAATTTTTAAGAGGTCGACCGGCGGGCGTCATACAGTGACACTCGAGGGTCCGAGAATATAATTCTGGAATAAATTTCCATTTATTTTCCTCACCTTGGATCATATTTGATTCTTGATCACTATTGGAATTGACGTTTGGCTTGTATGTGTCCGAGTCAATGTCTTTAAAATCCAAACCTCTGCGAGTGTCATTAGTAGAGGTGATAACTTGCGATCCGATGAGTTTGGTGACACCAGGGACGATTTGTGCTTCGGAGTGTAGATTAGTCTCTGCTAATCCACCCTGTTCCGACCACGAAAATTTAGCAATATATTCCCCATCAATCGTACGATAACATACTGTACCACACGATAGCGGCAATTTCTGATTCACAAACGGGTTTATATCTAGCTGGTATATATTGTTCCTTAAAGTCTTGTGATTTTGCACTTTCATTTTATGATTAATTGGGTTAACAAATATATTCATTCCAAGTTTATCCTCATTCATTAGCGCGTACGCTGTAATGGCTCGTATGAAGCACTCTGGCTCTTCTTTGATATCAATCACTCCTGATCCAAAAGCGCCACAAGGATCGAACACCCATAGTCGCAGTTGAGTGCCATACAGGAGGAATCCATGGGCAAACCGCCGTAGGGGCTGCGCATAAAACAGATCACGCATATAATATGCTAGCTGAAAAAATTTATCCCGCCAGTTCTCGTGCGTGAGAGAGTTAGTCAGAACTCCTACTACTTGCACATCGCGCCAATGGTGAGGTCTTTCAGCCGGGCAGCTGCGGCTCTTGGTGAACACATCAAGCTGTCGGTGGCATTGTTTTCCCGGTATATTTCCTATCCTCGTCATGCGAAAGTATTTTCCTCGCGAAGCTTGATTCCGCTTCTCGTTTGATGAGTTGCTCTCGGTTTTTCGCGATCCGACTGGAGAGTTATGTGCCTGATCTAGATAGCGTTGTTGGAAAGAGTCTAGCCACTTCCAAAGAGTTTCTTCTGACAGTTCTTTCGGAAAGTCACGGAGGGGATCGCCATCATTTGCTTCGCTCAGACTTTTCAAATAGAGTAAGCCCTGTTTCTTGTATTCTCCTTGAGAAAAGAACTTTTCCCAAAATCCATCCACTTTGACATATGTTGATTCCCTAACTTCCTGGAAAAAAGATCCTTGTGAATTCTGCCATTTAGATGCTCCACCGGTGATTAATAGTTTTTCAGGCATCCCTCTACACATGAGCGTAATACACCTGAATGGAGGAGTTGAACGTACAAGAACTCATCGCAGAACTGCATTATCGATTTCCATGTCGCACTATCTGAGTCACTCTCAACGATAGAAGTAGCCAAAACTCTAAAGATAGGAAGTTCAAGGTCTCTGGACGTTAGTCGGGTAAATATGGAAGTAATCCACTCATCGAGTGATAGGTTTGGGTTGATTTGGAGAAACCTGGATACTGGATGGTTTATCAAGGCACATAGAAGCATCTTGACAGCAGTTCGATTGGATTGTAAAATTTCTGCCTCATTTTGAATTATACTGTCAGTACTATGTTCACAAAAGTTATATTTTGATTTAAATGTGTCAATGAATGGCCGTAGTGGGTGAGTGAGTATAACATTATCAATTGACGCAGTAAATGACATTTTATTGCTGAAAAATGAAATGGTAGACGGCGCCAGAAATTTGAGTGAGCTTTTCGAAAATAAGTTAATGCTATGTTTTCACTCTTGGATTGCTCATCTGGTGTACATTGGCAATCTTACAGGCTACTACCCTAGGAATAAGCGACAAGGTTACCAGCCCCTTTTTGATGTGTTAGAATTCAGTGTGACGGCTGTACAACTCTGTGCGGTGTGCTGAATGAACATGGAAATATAGTGCTTTCCTAGAGCCAAGTCAGGGCAGATTTTGCAGGAGTATGTCCCATGTAATTATGTTTTGGTACTTGATACCAGGTCAAGCATTCAAGCTCAACAATGGTGAGTTCAATGGAAGCCCCATAATCGAAAATGATGACCTGATTCATCCCAATTTTCATGGTCACCCTTCAGATAGGCTCAGTCACCGGCCTCAGAAATACACGCCAAATCAAATATTTTTACCCACAGAGTGAACATATTGGCGGCGCTGTTAATTGGTAGAAGAGATCTTCTGGACATACGATAAGACTATCATCCTACATGGATAAGATTATTTCCGATCCGGATACAATCTTGCAAGGGGCCAAATTATGATCTACGTTAGGAAAATTTCGCATCCAAATGCCCTGTGAGCTCCACGACTTGAAAGTGACGCGTGTAGCCGGCAGAAGAGACAAATCTTGGCTCTATAGTGCAGTGGCCTATCATCCGAGCTAGTATCAAAAGAAGAATCGAAATATCTTACGTGCCTGTCCCGAATAAAATAGGGATGGGGGAGGGCAAGACTGAACACCTGTACGAGGTGTCCTCTACGAACCTGGGAGTGAAATATTCTCCCAGAGCCAAGTTCAGTCAAATTTCGCAATATCAAAGAAGTTAGCCCACGAGACAAAAATCCAAATTACTCCTCCACGTCGTTTTCTCGCTCCCAATGAGTTAGACTCCTACCTAAGTCTCATCAAGCCTACAAGTACGACCTAGTACATCCTCATCCCAATGACCACACCTCTCTTCGACCTTCTCTGGTCTCAGTTGACCACCAAATACACGCCCCCGCCGATATTTATACCCGACGGAGGAAGCAAAGCGTGGCGCACAAATCTGGGAGATAGTTTTTTGGGATGGACGTGAGAGGATTCAGGACAAGTTAATGAGATGATGCAGATATGGATATAAACTCAAAGGGTGTGAAATCTCGAAATTCGGCAAGGAGTTTATACCAATTGAGCTTTATGCGTGCCAAGTCTTCGGCTACGAGAGTGCCGGCAACACTATAAAAACTGCCACGTTTGGATGGTGCGGTGGCACATTGTCTTGGCCGGTCTGCCAAGTAGAGTCTGGGTAGCTTGGACACATATCTCCCACTCGAGACAGTAGATAGCTGGTTCAAATCCGGCAAAACACAACCACCTTTCTCGCGGCGCTAGTATACAAGGATAACGATGGCATGCTTGGACAACCAAAGGTTTTGAATTTCCCTGTGGTGGGTTCTAACGGAGGAGGGTCGACTGTTTGTGTAAGCAAGCATACCTCATGGTGATATTTGCGAATGAAATCCAGAGTATGAGTGTCTCTAACGTCAAAAGAGTCATCCAACATATATACATAGCACCGGTCATGTGTCATAGCTAGATAGCTGAATACACGTTAAATGATTTAAAAAAAAATACCCACCCGCAGGCAAACAAGAAGTCCACGAAAGCAAAGTAAGAGAACCCTCCGCCCTCAAGAAAAGCAGATTTCGAGTCGTGGAAAATATCGTCCCTACTAATCTCTACCTCCAAATCTATTACTGTTGTGATGTAATTGTCCCGGCAGAATGAAGATGTAGTTGGGAGAGAGACTGGCTTAATGTTAGCGTATGCTGAATAGGCGGAGTTTTATTTCTGGTATAAACATTGAACTATGGATACACTGTAACGGCTCTCATATAGTTAGAAAAATGTAGCATAAAACCTACAGACAGCTCTCTTATGGAGGGCGAAGGATGAACACCTGTCAGTGGTACCTTCTACGAACTTAGGAGTGAAGTATTCTCCCAGAGCCGAGATTCAGTCACGATAAAGGGTGGGATAAATTTTTTGACGGATTTTCGACTTTAAGGAGGATGATGATGAATATTTATTCGTGACGGGTACAAGCCCTGCACTCAAAGAGCATGACACGGAGAAGACTAGCTTCTCCGGCGACTATATACGACGATAACTCAGTTTGACATTTGGACTATTCATGTAGTGGGTGCACTCGCTGATACCACTCGAGAAATTGGTGCTAGGGACTTTCATCCTTCCCTCCACCGTTAATATCCACCAAAGGGAAAACATGAAGAACCTTTGGCTACCCTAACGTGCCTTTGCCATCTTATATATAGTTGCCGCGCGAGATATGGCCTCATAGTCCTCCCTTTCTCGAGTGAGGTAGGTGTCCAGACTACCAAGACTTTAATTCGGGGAGATGACGACCAGGAGGCCGACCAAAACACCTTCCATCCTTGCCTATTTTTAGAGTGTCGGTTGCACTATCAAAAATCGTTGCTCTGCATCCACAAACAATCTTAAGTCGAAGACACTCGAAAAATGTGCGTCCAAGCATGCCCATTTGTGACCTCTTCACTCGTTCATCCCACGTCCCAGCTGCCTGTCTCCCCTCAAGATGTGAAGCCCCGTTAGAGCAAAGGTCCCCCACAGACCAAGACCCGAGCTTTGTGGATCATAACTTGAATTCCTCCTCGCGAGTATACATAGCATTGTAAGTGTGTAGTGGGAGATGGCCGGTTTTTGATAAGGCAAATGCCCAATTGCAATTGGAGTAACGCCATTATCGGTATTTGAGGCGAGGTGGTATGGTAAGATTGAGGTAGAGAACTCGTGTGAGAATAATAGGCCGGACGTTGACGAGAGGTCGTCGATTTTAGATGTGCTTGCGAGTGCTTTCGACTTCGATTTGGATGCGATTCTTCTTGGCTATCCCAGATATGCAGAGTGTACTGAGCGCTTACACCGGCACCACTGGAAAGTGAAGAATTCGTCTTTGCCGGCTTCGACTTGAAGGAGTTGCGCTCGATATTTTGGTCGAAAAATCAGTCAGCAGAGATTTCACAGCCGCAACAAAGTCGTTTAAAAACTCATCACAACCAACATACGATTCACGAATGAGCCTAGGTCCGTCTGGGGGTCGTATTCAAACATCCGACATCCCTCATACTCCTTTTATATTTGCGACGAAAAATCTCTGAGTCGATCCCATATCTGCGACCCACTTCCATACTCGTCCGATCACCTACCTACACACGCCCTAATGAGGAAAGTCATGATGGAAACGGGACGTGTATAAAGACGGAATAAAAAGGAACATACACTGGGGGGATTACACAAATCCCCAATGACGAAAACAACCCAACGGTACGATATGAAGGTGCAAGGCCAGAGCAACGATGAGACCTGAGACTACATCTATATTTCAGGGTCAATGAGGATTTCAAGGGCTCGGGCGCGTGATGGCCGAGGCTGAGGAGGAAACTGCGCTACGGCGTGTCGATAGCGGGTTTCTCAGGGGGACTATTCTCAACACCTGTCAGCGGTGTCCCCTACAAACCTCCAGCTCTCACTGTAGAGTCTGCAGAGCCGAGATTGAGTAACAAAGTCCTCACTTCGAAGAGGATTCCCAATCGCTTTCGCGGTCTGTACCGTCTTCATCTCTCAACACATTCCCCTATCACCATTATCATGAAGCTAACAACGATCAGATCAGATGGTAGGGTCGGAGCCTTACTCGTCACCCACCCTTGATCATGGAGGAAAAGCCATCCGATGAGTTTCCGGAGCGTACCCAGCACCCGATACAGAGATGGTGGATTGGATCAAGTCGGCCTCGACTGTTACAAAGAGGGGAGACAGATGAATATGCGCACCACACGTGGTCCCGGTGTCTAGGCCTCGCCTGGCTGGGGCTGCAGGTTTTTTGAGACTTTTTCCCGCGCACGCAGTTTCCATTGCTACCATTTTTATTTTTTTGGGTAGAAGGTTCCGTGGAAAAGGTGGCTGAATTCTACGGGTAATACTGAACTGAATGGCTATTCATCAAGGGGAGTATATCAATGATCTTACAAGTAACAAAAGAGGATAGGAGCACTGTACAAGGTGTGGCCTGGGTCAGAGAGGAGCCCAATGTGCTAGATAGTCATAGACTCAAGTAGCAAAATAAACACAAACAAACACAGACAGCGGGTTTCTGGACGGTCAGACTCGGTAAGATTCAACACATAGGTGAAGTCTGAGATGGTCCGGTCATTTAAGTGGGACGAGGTTTATCTGTACTTCGTGGTAGTTAACCTGATCCGGCCCTACCCCACTCGTGCTTAAGCTCCAATAGTAGTGTAACGGTAGTCATGTAACCCAGCACGTTAATGAACAAAATATAAAAAGGCCCCTTCTCTCTTCCGGCCTCATCAACGGCTCAATATCCGCTCTCACGTGCATCTGAAAATATCATCCTTAAGCTCATATCCACAATAACCAGCCAGGAGGGCAAGACTGAACACCTGTACGCGGTGTCCTCTACGAACCTGGGAGTGAAATATTCTCCCAGAGCCAAGTTCAGTCAAATTTCGCAATATCAAAGAAGTTGGCCCACGAGGCAAAAATTCAAATTATTCCACCATGTCAATCTTTCACTCCCAAAGAGTCCGATTCTCAACTAAGCTTCATCAAGTCTACAAGTACGACCTAGTACATCCTCGTTTCAATGACCACACCTCTCGTCGACTTTCTCTGGCCTCAGCCGGTCACCAAATACACGCCCACGCCGATATTTACACCCGACGGAGGAAGCAAAGCGTGGAGCACAATTTTGGGAGATAGCTCTTTGGGACGGACGTGAAAGGGATCAGGACAAGTTTACAAGATGATGCAGAAGAGGGATACATTCTCGACGGGCGTGAAATTTCGAATTTTGGAAAGAGTTTTATGAATTGAGCTTTGTGCGCGCCAAGACTTCGCTTGCGAGAGTGCAGCTGACACTATAAACACAAGCCAACGATGGAAGGTGTTGTGGTCCGCCTCCTGGTGGTGTTCTCTGGTATGGTTTGAGTAGCCTGGGCACCTACTCCACTTGGGAAGGAGACATCTCAGATTACATTTCGCGCGGAGAAAATTTGATGGATGACGGAGGCATGTCTGGATAACTCAGGGTTTTTGAGACGTTCCCCTGAGTGGGTATTCACGGATGAGGGTTGACTTGGGGTGAAGAAAAAGCCACCATAACTTCGCAGTGGTACTTGCAAATGAAATCTGAGGCATGAGTGCTCTTCTTGTAAATTGAGTCATATTTTCTGTACTTTTCTTTGATATTGTGTCATAGCTAGATAGCTGCATACGCAATTAAAATCTGATGCAAAAAAAAAAAAAAAAAAAAAAAATAACCAGCCAGTAGGACACCTGAAATACATGAGTTACCGGACGACCCCACGTCCGTAACGACCTTTGGATACTAGACTAGGCATCTTCACGGCAGTTACTCTCGACCAGGAATTTTCTGACATCTTTCCACGACCTCCGGTTTGTCCTGCGGCATGAATCAGGGTAGGAGTAAGGTGGAGGCTAGGAAGGTTGAGACGCTCTTAGGTATACACGGGTCTGCTGCGCCCGGCTGGCCGGCCTCTTCGTCATCGGAGTGCCCCGCACCCGGTGGTATTTGAGACTTTTCCCTGCAGCTGCACACCCGCAAATGGCCATTGCTTAGTTGGCTGGAGAAGAGAGGTAATAAAGAGCAAAGGACTCCTCTGCGGGTATGATCAAATCAGGACTTGTGAGGGGTGGTACTGTTTGAGGGGAGCTATATGGGAGAAATAGGAGATGATCCACTACTAGATAATTAAGCTTGGCCTAAAGGAAGAGAGGATCTAAGTATACTACATAGTCACAGACTCGAATATAACAATAAAGTGAGAAATAAGGTGTGGATGGAGTTAGAATAATTGGATCTATAAAGTAGGCAACGTTGCTGATTTTGACGGGCTTTGCCCGGATTGGGACTGGTCACTAGGACCACTCCATCTCCAAGGTAAGGTAGTGGCAGGGCAACGCTCCTGGATAGACGAAAGGGGCGCTAAGGAGGTATCAAAGGGGGTACGCACCAGATGGGGAGTTTGATACAGGAGAATAGTTGTGCCGGGAGAAAGGATGATTCTCAAGTGGTCAATGGAGGGAGTTGAGACTAGTCTACACAGAGCATCTAACGTATGGGAGAGTACGTGGTAGATGGTTTTCCCAAGGAACAAGTTATTAAATCCTATTGAGTTATTGTCTTTCAAGTACATCTGAATTCATTAAACCCTTTCACTGATACACGAATGACTACTCATTCTGTCCATCCTTTCACTCTGGTTATTGGCCAATCACGAAGTAATACAAATTGGGTGCCGTCACGAAGTCGGTGAATAAAGTCATTTAACTGGTATCTCGATATACATAAAACCTCGTCTCTGCTTTTCCCTCTACTCCAAGCGCCTCGCTAATGAGTTATGTCAGATCCCTGTCAGTGTCCTAACGACAACCTGAATACCGCAATCACATAGAACAATTCATACTGCCTCGGTATAATCCTTGTACGGACATTGGTAGTGACTTGAATCAATGCGCTCTACACCCTCAACAACTGAGGGCAATCTTTCCTCAATAGAACGCGATATAATGGGGAGTTTTTCGCAATGGCAAGGAAGGCCAATGACGGTCAGGAATATAGCAAGCTCCGACATTGATCGAATGAATGTGCTCTAAAAGTCATGACTACGAGGTCATTTTTTCTTGATATGAAGGCTAATTTCTTCCGACATCTTCTTTGCACCAGAGTAACTGAAATGAACGAGCATCCAGGAATCAATCATAAGGTCATTGAACCCATGCCTCTAATGGGAAAAATAATTAGTCGGGAGCAGAGTAAACTAACTGTCGGTAGAGGGAGCATCTTTGGGTGTTGAGATTTGTTTTATATACTTACGGTGTTCGGGATGTTGTTAGGCCTCTGACGGGGATCTGACTAGGCTCATTAGCAGGGCGCATGGGGGTGAAGGATGAGAGGGAGAATCGAGACAACATCACAGGTATTTCGAGATACCAGTCAGCTTACTTGATTCGCCGCATATGTGACGGTACTTGACTGGTATCATCTCGTGAACTACCAACACTAAACATTTGGTTGTTGCCGGCACTGGATATGAGGGCGTAGAGAATAGGAGGTGAAGGATGATGGATCCGGGGTGGGGCACGAATCGGGACCTGCAATCAAATCTCATCTGACACTCGTAGCCCTCTGCAAAAGAAATTGATGTAAAGCGTAAGAAATCTTCAGGATGTTTAGTTTGATTTGGGCACGGCCAAGGCTTCTCGAAGGACCGGGAGGACGGAGAGGCATCGACTAGATGAAGCAGCTCCACCCATCCGGGCCCGGGAGATGATGAGAAAAACTAGCTTCAAAGTACAGCGAAAAGATGGTCCAGGAAGATAATCCAGTCAGGTATATATATCGATCTTTACTCGGGCTTTCGGAGAGTATCCAATATTCATCAACCAGCAGATTTCACTTGCGACTATTCCGCTCACAATGCGCTTTTCCAGCATCACCATCATTCTCCAAAGCGCAAGCATCTTCTTCACAACTGTGGCTGGGGTCACTACCAATCAAATAGATGAGCCAAGGAAATCATTTGTTTGTAATGGAGTTACTATTAAATTCAATAAATTTGGTCATCAACGCAGTTTAGTAGAAGATGCAGCGAGCAAGTTTCAACCAGGGAGTTTGTACCAAATATATACGTATGAATTGACTCAGGCACGCCAGAACGAGCATACCTATAGGACTCCTTTCGTGTATGCAGATAATGATACCACTAACTTATCTTTTTACCTACTCGCCGATTTGACATCATGTAAGTATCAATCCTTTTCTGCGTCGGAGTAGTACAGCTAACACACAATCTCAGACGAAAACCATCGTGCTTATTTCATCACATTTGACTACTATCTCGTGATGGACGGCCGCTATCGCGCTCATGCTATATTACTTAAAAAAACACAGGAAAATCGACCGGGCTATTATGAACAGATGTCAGACCCATCTTACGAGTTATGCAAAGTTGGATCGTTTCGCTGACCAGCACAAATTGTCGACCAGAGATTCGATTGCTTTCCATATTTACATGCTATTAAGGTTTGACTGTTGTATGAGCTTGGGTGGATACCTAAGCCTAGTACTTTTAATGTTCACGAAGAGCCTGATTGGAGAGAGAAGGATGGAGCCGGACGAAATGATTGTACAAGTCAGGACGCTGAATCGCTGTTACAACAGACAATAAGTGGTTAGTTGGTATGATATGTGTTGGATAGCCATAAGTTTGTAGATTCACGAAGCAAATCAATTGTTACAAGTAGCTGTTGGTTGCAGCAAGAGTTCTCTTTCCTCTTCATAGATTTTAATAAATCGTCAAAATCATCAGCAACTCGCTTTCAACCACATTTAAAACTGTATCATCCAGTCTTGCCTACTACAAAGTACATCATAATCTTTGTCCACAGTGATTTGGGACACCTCAAAACCAAGGGAATACATCTCCATCAACATTATCCTCTGCCCAATACTAATCTAAGGGTAAAGCACAGTTGATGGTTGGTCAAGTAATGAGTTGAGTTCTGGGTCTGTCCCATGTAACGTGGAGTTGTCGTATGAGATAGGAGGAAGCTCCAGTTCCTTTTTTCCGAAAGTATAACTGATGTTGAAATTATGGAGTTCAGAGATGAGTCAGGTGATGCTTAATGGAAGTAATTGATGAAGGGTTTGGTCGTTGAGTTTTCTATGATTTCTGTGTTAGGATACACTATGTCGATCCTACTGGGCTCGATAATTAGTAGTCCCGACCGACTGATGTTTGGCAAACGGAGATTGCATATACCCTGTGCTAGCGTTGTTTACTGCTGTTAATAGGAGATCCCGCACGGGCTATCTATTGGGGTGGAGGGCAAGACTGAACACCTGTACGCGGTGTCCTCTACGAACCTGGGAGTGAAATATTCTCCCAGAGCCAAGTTCAGTCAAACTTCGCAATACCGAACAAGTTGGCCCACGAGGCAATGATTCAAATTACTCCACCATATCAATCTTTCACTCCCAACGAAATCGATTCCTACCTAAACCTCATCAAGTTTACAAGTACGACCTAGTACATCCTAATCCCAGTGACCACACCTCTTGTCGACTTTCTCTGGCCTTAGCTGGTCGCCAGATACACGCCCACGCCGATATTTACACCCGACGGAGGAAGCAAAGCGTGGCGCACAAATCTGGGAGACAGTTTTTTGGGATGGACGTGAGAGGGATGAGGACAAGTTTACAAGATGATGCGACGGAAGGATTTAGCCTCGAGGGGGTGAAGTTCCGAATTTTGTCAAGCAGTTTTACGAATTGAGCTTTGTGCGCGTCAAGACTTCGCTTGCGAGAGTGCAGCTGATACTATAAACACAAGCAAACGATGGAAGGTGCCGTGGTCCACCTCCTGGTGGTGTTCTCTGGTATGATTTGAGTAGCCTGGACACCTACTCCACCTGGGAAAGAGACACCTCGGATCACATATCGCGCAGAGAAAAGTTGAAAGATGATGGAGACATGTCTGGATAACTCAGGGATTTTGAGACGTTCCCCTGGGTGAGTATTCACGCATGAGGGTTGACTTGGGGTGAAGAAAAAGCCACCACAACCTCGCAGTGGTACTTGCAAATGAAATCCGAGGCATGAGTGCTCTTCTTGTAAATTGGGTTATCTATTACACACTTCTCTGATATTGTGTCATAGCTAGGAAGCTGCATACGCAATTAAAATCTGAAGCATAAAAAAATAAAGAAGTATTCTGAAGAAAAATCTTAGGCAGGATCAGCGGGCTCCTTGTTCAAGCCTACCAGGCTTTTGTTTTTAAATCATTTAATGTGTATTCAGTTATATAGCCGTGACACATGATCGGTGCTATGTATACATATTAGATGACTCTTTTGACGTTAGAGACACTCATACTCTGGATTTCATTCGCAAATGCCACTATGAGGTATGTGTGACGGAAACCGAGTTGGTGATGAATAAATCGATTTAATAAACTATATGAGGAGAAAAGCTAACTCGAGCTACTACTAACAGGTATTTATAGGAGTTAATCCTCGTCGTGAATCTACAGACTAGTGACTTGTCCTTAGGCACAATACTTCTTACCCAGCCACGTATTTCCAGGTGTCACTAAGTTGTAATAACGCTTCAGCCTCCGGAGTAGTAGTCCCGTTTCGTTCAGCTTCAACTCCCCCTCATACAGCCTCATAGTAAAAATTCCAAGTAACAGGCTTAGGTATCCACCTAAGCTCAAACAACGGTCAAACCGTAACACTATCTATTCATCCTGGCCAACTTTCGAAGGACACGCTCATTGGAGATTGCTAGCTTTGATAGCTCATCGGAATGATCTGGGGATTTTTTTTAATTCTGTAGAAGCTACTTAGTTTAATTTAGGGATCCGGGAACTGCCCATCCAACCTTTCAATCCACACCATCTTTGTCCTCAATCTCTTGAGCATGTCCACCACAGAGTTCCAAATATGACTAATAAAATGGTCACGGTTAACATAGATTTTGTCGAGTCGTTCAATGGCACGCGAACAGAGCGATTTTTCCGCTTGCTGCATGACGCATTCGATGAATCTGGTGTTGTCTTGTTGGAAATATCGCGCAATGTAATGGGCGCAATATTCATGGAACGAAAGTAGAAGTTGTCTAAAACAGTGTCATGTTCGGACTAAAGCTAAAAGTGTGGGAGATGTGCGCTACAAGTATAAGTGTAAGCGACACAGAGCCTAAGCCACAGCATGAACGAGTGTGGCGCCATCTAGGCATAGAAAATCCCCAATAATCTCCTTGCGCCCACGCCATACAGCCGCTCATATGTCCAATAGGTAGCCTGAAGCACTACCATATTACCAACTCCAACCTCTTAAATACACACGAGATTGTGTCGGAAACCTAGACGAAATGGAGGGCCCATACATCCACAACACTCCGTGTCTCCATTTCTAACATATACGCACCCTATGGAACACTTTCCTAACCTCGCCCTTGAGATGTGGATGGGAGAAACATCCTTGGCATTTTACTTAATGCCGGATTGCTCTACAGCAATGGAGAAACTTGATGCACGAACTGTTGTGATCTAGGAAAAACACAGAATTGTTTATGCATACCTGCATAAACGTTATGCTATGGTGCTTAACAAGGATGTCATTGTAGACTGCTGGACAAACAGGAATAGCCGCGCTATGATTGGTGGGATTAGCATGGTGTGAACCTGCAAGGGTGGTAGGAGAGTAATTTAGGTGTGGTCCGAAGTACATTGAGTCAGGAGCACATAACCATCTTCTGTTGGTACATCTTTCTATCTTCTAGCACATAATAAAGTGCGTAGCATCTTTACTAGTATTGTTAACTTCTGAGCCATTCTATCTCAACCCCGAGGCAGAACATCTACCACCAGGTCACAAATCATCATCTACTCGTGCACCGGGAATCCTTCTTCCGTTCCACACGCATAATTACTATATCCATCCGTCCAAATCCTGAAAATCAAGCAGAATCATGGCTGCGTACAACCAGCCGTCGTCCTCGGCGTCAATCGACCCAGGCGACGACCTACACCCGAGCCTTCTTGGGATTGCCGCCGCAATGGAGCAATCAGAACGCGACAGAAAGCAGCGAATGAGCCTAGCTCAAGAATTCCTGCAGAATATCGACGCCTGGGCGAAATCCAAGGCTGGAACCGATGGTGCGGCCTTAATCGCGCCTTTTATTGAAAAGATTTCACCTATTGTGACAGCTTTTGCAATAAGCAACGTCAACGCCACATACAACTCATGTAAGAACCCTTTCTCCGAAGCCACTCAGATGAAAACCTCTGTGCCAAGGGTGACAAAGATAAACGAGAAACCGCCTCATGAACTGCCGAAAAAGCCTCAAGTGTCTGAGTCCCCCTGGGTCACAGTGGCACGAAAAGCGGCCAAGCTCCCAGACCCGCCAGCCAACCTGGTCAAACGAAGGCCTATTGTGCAGACACGACCAGCAGAAAAAGAACCCCCCAAAGAAGATAAACGACTTTTTCTTCGAATGGGACGAGAGCATCAGTGGCGCAAGTTATCACCAGCCACTATCAAGAAAATTGTCACAGAGAAAGCTGGGATTGCACCCTCAGCAATCATAGCAATGACACAAGTTAGGTCTGGCCTAGCAATGGAGTGCGCATCAGATGCACTCAGGGAATCAATTCTGGGTGTGGGTCCTTCACTCCAAAAAGAGGAAATCACAATCGAACCGGCGTCAGACTGGACATCCGTCATGGTACTGCATGTCCCAATCTACATCCGTACATTAGACGGAAGAATTGAAATAACCAGGGAAATGGTGAAGATGGAATGCCAGGCAGCTTGCGGCGTCATGCCAATACAGGTGTGCCCAAACAATACAAAGTTTGGACAGTATTCCACTAGCTGGATGGTGCACTTTAAACAAGCACCTTCCAACTTAAGGTTTAGACTATTCGACGAGAGTGGACCTGCCATACCATTCTCTCGTAGACGCCCCATCGAGCAATGCCAACGCTGCTGGGGCTATCATTCAACAAGAAACTGCGTCAAAGGACAGCGCTGTGTAAAGTGTTCTGGCTCGCACGAAGCTGCCAAATGCTCGGCAAACATCCCCAAATGTTCAAACTGTGCTGGACCGCACGAGTCTACTCACTTGGACTGCATGGCCCGGCCAAGGCGATACAATGGACAAGTAACGCCCCGATCACCGGCCGAGCTGCGAGTTATGCGAGAATGCAGACATATGGATTTTAAGGCTGCTATATTAAGATCTCAAGAAAAAGGTAAGGCCTGCGAGGTCATTAATATACCAGAAGAAACAATGGTTGATAATGAGTAATACACCAAATTCTCATAAGTACAACCAAAAATATAGCACCCTTCTATTTCACCATGTGAACGTGGGAAATGGTGGACCAATCATGGACATAGCGCTGCAACAAGCTTGGGATGCAGAAGTGCACATAGTCATGATCCAAGAACCATGGACCT